ATAAAATTTCTTTTTATTAATAATATTTTAAATATTTTAATATTTCTTTCTTTTCTTTTTTTCTTCTCTTCCTTCTTGGTCATGGCCGGTAAAATATTTTTTAATTAATAATACTTTTATTAAAAATAATTTTTTTATTTTTTTTACCATGGCCGGTAAAAAAATTTTTAATTAATAATGCTTTTATTAAAAAATAATTTCATTATTATTTTTGGCCATGGCCAGTAAAATTTTTTTATCAATAATATTTTTTTATTTTTTTGGCCATGGCCGGTAAAATATTTTTTTATTAATAATATTTTAATAAAAATATTTTTATTGAAAATATTTTTTTTTTGCCATGGCCTGGTCGCCGGCCATGGCCAGTAAAATATTTTTTTATTAACATTTTTTTTACTAATAATATTTTTTAGTAAAATATTTTAATAAAAAATATGTTTATTGAAAATATTTTTTTCCTTTTTTTTGCCATGGCCTGGTCGCCGGCCATGGCCGATAAAATATTTTTTTATTAATAATATTTTTCTTTCATGGCCTAGTCGCTGGCCATGGCTAGTAAAATAATTTTTTTTTCATGGCCGGTACAATATTTTTTTATTAAAATATTTTAATCTCGCTAGATACGACGAGGGTGGCCCTCGCGCCGGACATTAGAAGCTACATTAAAAACCAAGAAAAAGAAGAAAAAAAATTGATTTTTATTTTTGTTCCCAGAATCAAGAAGCTACTTTTTTTTTATTCTTGATTCTGCTAAAAAACTAATTCTGGTTGCAAATTTGTGCCCATAATCAAAAAATTTAACAAACGGATTTCTGTTCAAAAACTGATTCTGGAAACAAAAGAACAGAAATTTTCACTATTTGGCCGGTTGTCAAATAGGCCCTAAGAGAGAGAAGGGCAATTGACACGAATAATCGCTGAATTTTGACCCGAAGTGTCATGTGGTCCTTACAATTTAATTTGTTTAATGCGATTTCTGAACTTTAGCCTAATGTGCAATGTCGTCTCTGAACTTTTAATTTATTCAATGTGGTCCATAGACTTTTGGTACATGCTCGAGTTAGTCCCTAAATTATATGACAATGTTCAATGTTATTCTTTCATTAATTCAAGTTAACATTGAATATTTTCATATGGTCTAGGGACTAGATTGAACATGTATCAAAAGTTCAAGAATCACATTAAATAAATTGAAAGTTCATGGACCACATTGCACATTAGGCTAAAACTCAGGAACTATATTAAATAAATTAAAAGTTCAGGGATCACATTACTCATTGGATAAAAATTGTCGGACCATTTGTGTCATTTTCCTGAGAAAGAAAATTAGCTTTAGACTAAAAATTATTGCATGCAGCGAGCGCACGTGAACCCACTTCAACTAACTCGTCATATTACGCAACTTTCATATGAGATCTACATTATTCGATAATCGAATTGCGTCGAGCTTACATGCTCGTCGGAATCGCTCCCAGCCGAGTCACCGTAAAAATCTGACGTGCCCCCTCCCCCTCCCGGTAAATGCCGATTTGTGATTTGCACCCTTAACCGGTTTCTGGACCTCGGGAAGGGGCAAACGGAGCAGGGAGTACTGGGTTCACTTGTCGACGGCCATGACGGCCTTGGAGTTGTCCGGAGGAGCCTTGTCGAGGGTCACCGATCTAGAATCTGTGGGGGGAGTCATGGGGGGAGTCGGGGACGGTGGAGGACTCGGAGTTTCGCGACAACGATGGCATTTCGACGATGTTGCGGGTGGAGATTGCGATTGCTGCTGGTGATGGTTACGAGCATCGGAGTTGCTGATCGATTGCATATTCTTCTCCCGATTCTTCGCCGCGCACGGATCTTTCTCTATGCATGCATGTTTTGCCTCGTACCATCTCGGTCTCCATCATCCCCCAACGTACTTCGTAATCTAGGCATTAATTCACGTAAGGTCTGCCGTCTTTAAGTGGCCAAGGCCAATTCATTCCGTCTCCAATTGAATGCAGTCTCCAACCATTGTATTCGTGACTTCGGAAAGGCTTGACGAATTTGGGAATAAAACGTAAGCAGGCAACAAAAGTTCATTCCAACGGATCATGACGCAATGTATGTAAAGTGCTACACACGAGGGAAGAGGGACCGCTAATTGAGCATGATCATTGCCTAATCCTACCTAACTTAAACTTAATTATGCAATGTGAAGGATTTGGGGTGTCCTTTGTAGGCATGACTCTTGACATAATTAGACTCATCTAAATTAGTCATAAACTCATTTCTTAACCCATATATAACTGGATGAATTATTATATGGTTTAGTTATATTTGGTAAATAGGTTATAAATGGATTTAAACATAAAATGGGTGTTAAATGAGTCATCAATGGGTTTATAACTTACTTAAATCCAATCCATATCTACGACTCTCTCTTCATTCACTCTCGCTCTTACTCGATCTCGCGCTCGCTCGCTCCACACTCTCGCTTCAATTTGGGTATGAGTTTTTCAAGATTTGGTTAAATATGAAATTATTTTAATAATATGAGTCGGATTGGGTATGGGTCACTAAATTATATTTGCATGGAAATGGGTCAAAATGAGTCTTTTTTGGTTTAGACCATTTTCGACCTGACTCAATCCACCCGTTTGACGGGTCTAGGTGTAACAACAATAGGGCAATAGAAATTGAATTCGGACGAGGGAAAAGTAAATAAGAAATCGCTCTGACAATTAGGGAAATTAGAAGGACTAATAGAGGGCGATACAACCAAAGAAAATGTTTCAACAAGATCACCTAGAAACTCGAAGATCTCTCTTGCCTCGGATAAGATATCTATAGTCCCTAAGTAAGTATATGATGTTAAACATATCAAATTGAATGATAATCCGAAAAATCATAATGTTCTTTGAAGTAAATTCTTTCCTGCTTTTGTATACATAGAATATAGTTTGCATTTATTAATTTGAGAAATCAACTTTACGAATCCCAAAGACTGTCCTCTTTACATCTATGATGCACATTAACGAGTCTACTACATTCAAGAGGAAAAATATCCGTTAATATAAAGGGAAAATACCACCAAAAATCCCAAACTATGCCATTTATGATAAATTTACCCTGAACTTTTTTTTGTAACATGAAAAATCCCAAACTATACCACTTGTGACACATTTACCCCACAATACTTTGGCCTATGGGCATTTTTGCCTTTTTCCTTTTTCTGTTTTTTTTTCCTTTTTTTTTCTTGAGGGAAGAGAGAAGAAAAGAAAAAAAAGGGAAAAAAAATAGAAAAAGGATAAAGACGAAAATGCCCATAGGTCAAAATATTGTGGGGTAAATGTATTACAAATGACATAATTTGATATCTTTTGTGTCACTAAAAAAAATTCAGAGTAAATTTATCACAAGTAGTATAATTTAAAATTTTTCGTGTCACAAAAAAAAATTTAAGATAAATTTATCACTAGTGGCATAATTTGAGATTTTTTGCGGTATTTTCCCTAATATAAAAGAAAACCGAATAAGCGGTTATAACATGATGTCCTTTATTTTGCGTTTTCTCCGACTCTCTCGCTACTTGACAAGTTTGCACCGCTTCTAAAGCTATTAAAACCTACTAGCGAATAGTGATATTCATATTCAAATGCTTTTTCCACCCCCTTTACGACTTATACAGTTCTTGAAATAGTGTTTTAACGACAGTATCTCTTTTTGGGCCCCACTTTTTAGCAGGTTATACCCATTGATGATTATTAAAAATCAAACGTGGGTCCGATTTGTGTCTTACTTTTTTCGTCATCTTCTTCTTCCTCCCTGCCTTCGCCACCTATGTCCTCCACCGCACCACCAAAAGGCTCCATTAGTCGCGCCATTCGCTCGCTTCTCCGCCTCGCCGCCCCTCGCGGCCTCGACCTGCCGTCATCGAGACCTTGCTGACCATCGTCTACTCCGCCGTGAAGGGGCACAAGATTGGCGAGGCGTCGCTCGACCCCATCACCTGCCTGAACGACATTCAGGACGAAGATCCAACCAATGATGATGAGCTTGAGGATGTTAAGAGAGAGAGTCCTGGCAAGGAAAGAGAAGGTTTTACCCCATCTGGATTTACAGATGGAGAAATCGTGGCAGAAGCGGCATTTTTCACCTTGAGAGCATCCAAGGCGTAGCTTGACAGTCCGTTGGTCACCGACTCGATGAAGCCGTCGAACATGTCTGATTTGTCGGCGAAGCTGTCGTCGTTGTTGCCATTGACGCAATTGCAGTGATTGCGGCCGCACTTCGTCACCAATTGCTTCTCATTGCTCTCCTCGATGAAGTGCTGAACCATCTTCACCGAGCAGACTGAGCTCGGCTCGAACGCAGCCACTCCAACCCCACCTCCTCTATCCTTGCCGTACTAAGGAGAATCTTCGCTGGATAATAAAATTAAATGCGCAGTGCAAGAGAGAACAGAGAGTTATGGGGAGAATTTTTGCTCGAGAGCACAGCCTAACGATCTTGTCGGGGGCTGTTGACCCGACAACGTCATACTCCGGCGAGTGGAGCTCGCGACTGCACCTCGTGTGCACCGCCACCATGCCCTCGTTCCATGCGATCACCTCCTTGTCCATCTTGTGAAAGGTCCTCTCCATCGCCGCCCTCCACTCTGTCGGAGCCGAACCCTCCTCCTTGTTCACCTTCAAAAGCTCTTCCTTTATAGCTCGTGCAACCTATCACTACAGCTCACACCTAGAAACTACCGGTCGAGCAAGTAAAAAGAGAGAACATAGAGATACAGAAGAAAAGGAAAGGAAAAAAAAAAAGTGGGATGGCTCCAAAAAAAATGGGATCCACAAAGGATAATTTAGTTCAAATAAAATTTTAGAGAGTGTACGAGCTAAAGAGGGAGTGGAAAAAGCTTGAACCAAACCGATAATATTCAATTTCCAATAGCAAAAGATTAATATTCCAATTTCAACTATATATTGTGAAACTATATTTATTGTCATTCTCATCATTAATATATGAGAGTTCTAGTCTCCACACATAAAACTAGTGCTTTAATTTTTCATTACTTTAATTTAAATTTCATTATACAAGCCCATTATCTAAAACAAAGTCACTTTGCGCTCCTCGCAAGTCCATCTAGAAGAGATATATGCACTTTCTTATGCACTACAACTGTGTCATCTCCTTCGCCTTAGTGTTATCAACTTCATTCTTGTCCTCAAACAAAGCACCAATCTCTTCTAATGTCCTGCCCTTTGTCTCGGGCAAGAAGAAGTAGAAGAACAGACTCCCCAACACCATCACCCCACAGAGCACAAAGAATATGCCCCCGAATGTTATCCTGTGGCTGATGCTCAAGAACGACATCGACACGGCCCCGCTCATCAGCCGGTTCACCGAGATCGCAAGGGCCGTGCCCTGGGCCCGCAGCCGAAGCGGGAACACCTCCGAGGAGTAGACCCAAGTGATGGGCCCGAGCCCGATCGAAAAGAACGAGACGTCCGCGCACACCGCCACGATGCTCACCACGATGGCCCAGACCGGCTTGCTCCCCGAGTGCTCGAGGAACTTCGAGCCCAGGCCTAGAGCGGCCAGGGAACAGGCCATCCCTACCGTGCCCAATAGCAAGAGCGGGCGCCTCCCGAACCGGTCCAAGAACAGGGCCGAGACCATCACGAACGCGGCCTTAGTGCAGCCCATGATCACGTTGATCCCGAACAGCTTCTTTTTGTTGAGAATCCCAGCGGCTTTAAACACTTCAGGGGTGTAATAAATCACGGCGTCGTTCCCGGAGGCTTGCATGAAGAAGTTGATCCCGATCGCAGTGATGAGGATCCGGCGGAGGGCGGGCGAGGGATGGAGGAATTCCTTCCATACCCCTTGCCCACTCCATCCTTTTGAAGAGGCCAAATCTGCATCATCCTGAGCAGCTTGGGTGATCTCATGGAGTCTTAATGCAGCCTCTTCCTCATCTCTTGAAGTCTTTAACAACACCCTTTTCGCCTCCTCAATCCTGCCTTTCATGACGAGCCACCGAGGCGATTCGGGCATGAACATGATGCTTGACCCGAGGCCGATCGCCGGTATGGCAGCAATTCCAAGCATTATCCTCCAGTTGAGCCACTCGGGGAGGCCGGCGAGGGCATAATTGCAAACGAACCCGAGCAAGATCCCCGCCACGATGAAGAACTCCGGGAGGGAGGTGAGCATCCCCCTCACCGAGGCCGGGGCAATCTCGGCCGTGTAGAGCGGTGCGATCATGAGGGAGTACCCCACCCCGATACCGGCCACGACACGGCCCGCCATGAGGAGCGCGTACGACGGTGCGAGGCCCATCAACAGGGCGCCGATCAGGAAGGTCGACGCGGCAAGGACTATGGTGTAGCGCCGCCCAATGAGGTCGGAGGTCTTGCCGGAGGCCAGAGAGCCGACCAGCGAGCAGACGTTGAGTATGCCCACGAGGAATTGTCCTTGGACGTACGTGATTTTAAGGTTCTCTCTGATGCAGATCACAGCACCGCTCATCACCCCGATGTCTGCAAAATCAAACGATCATTACCACCTTACCTCGTAATTTCCCAAGATTCTCAGTAGAAATAGCAACAATTCCGACTGTCTTACGCTAACCAACCCACGAACTCATAACCATTTCTCATACCCACGGGTGATTCGATCAACAGATCACCGAAAATCGTGTCCCTCGCAAGCCTATCTTGCGACAAAACATAACCCCCGACCCATCTCCACATTTCTAATTCGAATTAAACTTGGGCTCGAGAAACAAATCTGCGCGATCGGAGAAAGAGATGGGACTAGTCGATACTCACCGTAGCCCAAGAGGATGGAGTTCGTGGAGGCCAAGATGGCACAGAACAGAACGTACTTGTTCGCCCGAGGCTTCTTGGGACCCGAAGCAGCAGAAGTCGGCGCTTTTGGGTCATCCATTTCAGCCAGTTTCTTTTCACTCTCAGTCACCACACAGAAGAATGAAGGGAACTGCAAGTTATGGACAGAGAGAGAGAGAGAGCAGAGAGTGAGTTGGGGATGTTAGGTGGTTGCAGAGATATATGTCGAGAGGGTGCCGAGCCAGATTGCATGAAAAGCCAAAATAGGAAGAAATGCAAAAGGCTGTGAGGATAAGAGAGAGGAAAGCCATAGACTGAAAAATTCTTGCATGCAGCGAGCGCGCGTGAACCCGCTTCATCTAACTCGTCAAATTACACGACTCTCACGCGAGGTCCACATCACTCGACGACCGAGATGCACCGAGCCAACATGCTCGTCGGAACCGTCCCCCGGCCGGGTCACCCTAGAAAGCTGACGAGCCAACATTTGGGTTGCCCCCCACAATGATTGTTCTTGCAAATTCTCACAACCTCACACCATAAAGGAGCATACTTTTAAGGAGATTCCAATAGGTGGGAAGTAGGGTTGCTTTCAAGACGATGTCTTTACTACACAGCCGGTCAAACCAAACGGTTGGGACCAATCCTCTGAGATGAAATGCTGCAACCAGTCTCTTGTAACCTAGTGCAATAGTGGAGGATGACGTCGTAAATACGCGCTCGAAAGTACGAGCGCGACGGGGATTTCACGTGGGGGATTCGGCTTTGGGGACGACTCGTCCCCGTCCAGATATAAAGGCGCTTTGGATTCTATCCTTCTTTTTCCTCTCTTTGGATCTTGTCAATGGCAAAAGAGTGTCCCAAAGGTATGATGTGAACCAACTTTAGTCAATTATGGTCCCCTGAGTGGAATCTCTAAAGTGAATCGCGGTCCCGGTCAATCGCATGTGCCAGAGAAAAAGGGTCTCGAACGCATTTATTGGGCAAACAAGCTAAATACCCTCGCTCGTAGGGACGAGCATTATTCGGGTTGGACCGGTCTAGCACCTAACCCAAGAATCAACCTGCACGATATTGGTCCCTAATATTTTTGGACTGGGGACCGATCCTATTGAACCTGGGACCGAAGACTGGACTGGACTGAACCGAACTAATCCTGTGGGTCCGGTCCGATTCCAGAGTCAACCTGAGACCAATAGATTCTTTTTTTTTTGTATCATTTTTTTAATTCCTTGGAGGCACAAATGTACTCTTTAAAATTTTGGAGCTGCTGAAATTAGAATAAAAATGTGTTCATGCTTTACTAAATAATTAGTAATATGTGGCATTTCTCATTCTTGAATGAGTCTTTAACTCTGCTAAAGTCAAAGTCGTTGAGATTGCCAAATTCATCTGTGTGATTTGAATTTAGAACCCATAATGCCACATGATTAGATCCACAAATTTATTATCTTTGTTTCGAGCATGAGAAGGGAGATTATGATATTACAGATTCTGACAGGGACTCTAGTTACAGGCCTTGTTTTGTTATTGTTTTTTCAAATGTCAAGATGTCTGTTCAAGTTAATGGTATTCATGTTGAAGCATCAAACATTAACAAAAAGAAATTGTTACTGTGATTGTCAACGAAGATGCAAAATGAATGTGGCCATTCAAGTTGAGATTCTCGGCCTCTGTTTCTCTTAGAACCGATTATGGAGGTAGTTACCTTTGAGTTGCAGATATTGACTGCGAACGATGATCAATCAAAATTGCTGATATCCCAGAGTTTTCGCTGCTGATGATTGGCATCGGCGAAGAATAAATGAGCAGGGAGAGAGAGGGAGAGAGTCGTTGCTATTGATCCGTTGAGAGGTCGAGAAAAATCTGAGATTGAAGGAGAGAGTGAGAGTGAGACTCGGAGAGAGGGAGAGGAAAAGGGCGAAAGAAGAGAAGGGGCTGAGCACTTTAAATTATATACCTAGGGTTTGGAAAAAAAGAATTTACAGGGTTGGTCCAAGTTGGACCAATCCTAAAGCCTCAAGACTAAGGATGGGAAAATTTCAATCAGTCCCTAAACCTATCAGATCCGGCCAATTCAGCCTAAACCTTTTAATTTGCCACTTCAGTTTAAACCTTTTACTTTCGCCACTGAGTTTCGCCAAGTTTATGGCCGCGGCATGGCCGTGCCGCGGCGATCGTCATCGGCCAACACGACGTGACAATTTTTAATTATTTTTTTCAATTTTTTAATCTTTTTTTTTCTTCTTTTTTTCGTGTCTCCCCTATGGCCGGTCCGGCGACGCGGTCGGCCGTAGGGAGGGCGGCGAGGCCTCGGGCGGCTTCTCGCCGCCGCCCACCGGGAGGGCGAGCCTCGCCGGCCCCGGCCGGGCGAGGCGAGGCGAGGCCCCCGGCCGGGCGAGGCGAGGCGAGGCCCCGGGCCGGGCGAGGCGAGGCGAGGCGAGGTGAGGTCGAGCCTTGCTGTCGCTTGGGTCGCGACGGTGAGGTCGAGCCTCATCGTCGCCCGGGTCGCGACGGTGAGGTCGAGCCTCGCCCAGATCTGGCGAGGCTCGACCTCGCCTCGCCTCGCCGTCGCCTGGGTCGTGACGGCGAGGTCGAGCCTCGCCCGGATCCGGCGAGGCGAGGTCGACCTCGCCTCGCCCTGGTGGCCGGCGAGGCTCGCCTCACCGGTGGCCGGCGGAGCGAGCCGCTGCAGGCTCGCCGGCCTCTCCCTCGCAGCGGCGGCCGACCGGACCGGCTAGAGGGAGACAAGAGAAAAAAAAAAAAGAAGAAAAAAAAAAAAGATTAAAAATTGAAAAAAAAATAATTAAAAATTACCATGTCATGCGTTATCGGGATAGCTTGCTGCGCCCGGCCCACGTCTCGGCCGGCCAAACTTGGCGAAGGACTCAATTGGCGAGAATTTAAAAGGTTTAGGACTAAATTGGCAAAATTAAAAGGTTAGAGGACCGAACCGTACAATAGGTTAAGACCGATTGACAATTTTCCCGACTAAGAACTAACCCGCAAAGTACACGTTCCAGCTAGGACCAGGGACCGATCCAATCCCCCTGGGAGCCGGACTAGGATTGGCTGGGTTGGGCCGGTCTAGGGTCGATTCAGGGTCAACCCTAGACCAATGCTCACCCCTACTTGCTCGCCCTCTTAACAAGTTAGGGTATGATTTTTGGGAAGCTGGATCGGGCTATCAAGTTGCCAAATTTTCTTGAGGTGGAAAAGTTAGGGCCAAGATCCTGCCTTCGAGGTCAAATGGACGAGAGGATGTCTTTAGAATTCTAAGACATGCCTGCTTAAGAAAAATACCACGTCGTATAGATCACGGGGTAGAGTAAAATCTTTAGAATTATAGAGCCAAACAAGGTCCAAATTGATGTGGGGCAATTGAGAAAGATGGATACATTGGGAAAGAATTGTCCCCACGTTACTTATAGGTTGTTCTTAAATCTTTTTCATATTTCGTTTCATGATTTACTTTATTTGTGATTTATTATTCATTATCGCAAGTAATTGATTAAAAATATATATTTATTAAAAATACACAAACAGGGTAGATTCGCGTGGCCAGGCGGGACTAGCACCGGTCCCGCCCCGTGCCTCGCCTACTGCACTGCGGGGAAAACTTTCCCCATGCAAGGTGATGCCTCGCGCGGCACAGATTGCACGTGGCCAGTACCCATCCTTAACAAATATTCATGGAATTAGTTATTTTACGCCAACATGTGTTTATCTGCAAAATCTTACTTCTAAAGCCAATTGGACAAATTAAAAACACATTGATATAAAAATCCCTATGTGCATAATGCGTAAGCTACTTCATCCCCATTATTTATACGTACGCCATAATTAATTTGGTTAATACCACGAAAAACCCCAAACTGGTACACTTGTGATAATTTTATCCTCCGTTAGTTTCCGTTAAATTTTACCGTCAAATTTTTAAGTTGGATGACACGTGTCAATTGACGAGTGTACCAATTTGGGGTTTTACCCTCCATTTGTCACAAATGTACCAGTTTATGATTTTTGTGATATTAATCCAAATTAACGGAGGGTAAGTTTGTCACAAATATATCAGTTTGAGGTTTTTTGTTATCAAAAAATTAGTTTATGGTAAATTTTTCACAAGTGTACCAATTTTGGATTTTTTGTGGTCAAAAAATTAATTTATGGTAAATTTGTCATAGATATATCAACTTGAGATTTTTTGTGATATTAACCCTAATGAATTTTGGTTCAAACCTCACTTGTGATTATAAAGGAAAAGAATATCATTACCCTCTGCCAAGTAGCACATTGGGTAGACAAAAAAAAAGTTAACAAAGCTTAATTTGAAGCAAAATAACAACACGACTCTATTTGTTTCGCAAAAAATGAATGATTAAGAAATCATTTTTCTAAAAATAATTGTTATATCGCTTGAAATAATTATCTGGTGAAAAATATTTCCATTATCAATAACAATTTATGTTTAAACATTTTCGTGGACAATGAATATATTTTTCTTTTATTCATTATTGTAAATAATACGAGCGATCGTTTATAGAAAAATATTTTTTAAATCATTCATTTTATACAAAACAAACGAAGTTTACAAGTGCCATAATTTTCATACTATACTTACTTTAGTGATGCTCATTTCAGGGCCATCTTTCGCAATCACTTAAGTGCCACAGTGGTGAAAGAACGATCACTTAGGGTGTGCATGATAATCATTCTGTTTCTCTATTTTTCTATTTTTCTATTCCCGGGAGCAGGTATGGAACAGAAATCCGTTTGATAACGTAATTTAATTTTTCTATTTCTGGAACAAATTTCTACTCCAAAAATAAATTTGGAACGGAAATCAAAAGTAAAAATTTTCTACTTTTTTTATTTCTAGAATGGAAATGAGAAATAAAAACTCTTCTCATTGCTCTCTCTCGCTAATAGTCGGTCGACCACTCGCCGCTGCCCACTGCCGTCCGCTGGCGGCCGCCTCCCGCTACCATCCGCCGTCGCCTGCCGTCTACCTTCCTCCGCCGCCGTGTCCCATCGTTGGCCACTGCCGTCCACCGCCACCCGACACCAGCTGCCTCCTATAGTCAGCTACCGCCATCCACCATCATTCGCTACTGCCTGCCGTCTGTCGTCCTCTGCCGTTGCCTGACGCCGGCAGCCTCCCACTGTCAGCTGCCGCTGGCCGCCGTCTACCATCCTTCGCTGCCTCCCACCATTGGTTGCCGGCCGCCTCCCACCGCTGCCCAGTGCTGGCCACCTCCCTCCCGTCGGCCACTCAGGTGGGAGAAATTTTGTATCATTATCAAATGAATTTCTATTTACGGAATAGGAATTTTGTGTCATTATCAAACACATATTTTGGCTCAGAAACTTGTCCATGAAATAGAAAAATCTATTTTTTGCCAGAAATTGATTTCTGGAATATAATAGTTATCATTCACGCTCTTTGTGCCTCCAATGATATATCGT